TAGAGAAGAGAGCCTTCTCTCAAAAATTGCAGCAAAGTCCCTGTTCGGCCTCCCCCAACCGGCCTCCTGGGAGACAGAAAAAAAGAGCGCAAGCTCTGTGAGTCAAGCACAGCCCACATATACCCATATGCTCAGCGCTGCTTTTGTCGGATTCCGAGATTCGCGAAGCTACTGTGCGCGCGAGGAGCTCCGAACGGAGATCCATCGGCTCACTTCCCGGCTGTCTGCTTTGGAGTCGCGAATCGAACCAGAGACGCCCCCCGGCAGACGCAGTCGGGTCGAGTCTGTTGAGTACTGAGAGTTAGGACCCACAGGCGAGCCGAGTGCGTTACAAACACCCCAACGGGAGAATCCACGAGGGAGGCGAGAGGAGCGGTACTCTCGAGAGTCGAGGCCCAGAGACTTCGGCTCGGTGCCTTTTCATTTCCTTGATTTGGAGCTATGTTTTTGTTTTGTCAAGGCTAGGCGTTTGCTTTCTTCTTAATCCTTTTCTCGCTCACCACTTGTTAAGGGTTCCTGCTAGGTTTTGGGTGTTTCTCAGGTTCAGGGGTTTAAAGGATTTTTGGGGAGAGTTAAAAGGGGTCAGGACCCGACCAGCGAGCATCGTGTTTGCAAATGGGGGGCTGCACCCCCCCCCCCCCCCGCCCACCCCCCCCATTTTGTTATGCCGTGCAAGCTTGCTTGAAGACCAAACGAATCCTGTCCAAACCCATGATGCGAGCGCCCCTCCCAACCCCGCTCTTTCAATTAAGCCGCGCAAGCCTGAGAAGACGTAGATTCCCCGTACTCCGGTGCGTAGCAGGAGAAATGGTGGTAGTAGTGCTTGTAGTGCTGGTGGCAGTGTAGCAGTGCTCGTTGTCCTGCTTCTCGTCGGAAGCTTGGAAACCGGAAAAACAAGTTCGCAAACAAGAATTCTAGGCAGACGAGGACGACAGTCCCGACCAGGAGGCTATGTTTCGAAACAGCAAACAAGGCAAGAAAACTCAAACACAAAAACACAAAACAAAATCACAAGTCCCGGCTCCGTTGCGCGCTCTGAGGAAGGGCAATTCCGTGAGCACTGTCGTCGTGGAGCCGCCTTACGCGCCAACGTCGCTGCCAGTGGAGGACTTGGGAGGGCACTGAAGTCTCAGCTGATGCGTTCGTCTACCGCGTTCTACTGTGGCACTCGCTGTATCCCCCAGCAGCAGTTGGGAACTGCACAAGCACCACCTTCCGTTCCCCTCGCGTGGGTTTATGAAGAAGGCCCTTGGGAAAATAATCCGACGACGAGTCGCAAAGCTACCCTCTCCCGACAACATGCAGTGCCACACTACGCCCTGTTTCATCTACATGGCTGTGACGACAGTCCTAGCAGATGCAGTTACGAGCCGTGTCTAGGCATAGGTGCCTTGTTCATGTGGAAGACGACACCTCACATGCTTGATGCCGAGCAGGATGCAGAAGAGAAGCCAGTTCAATTGGCTGAAAGCGCTTGGAGGCTAGGTTGCGATCAGAAAGCCCGGAGAGGAGTGTGGAAGGAACATGTGAAAGGCTGCCAGACTGAGACGTGTGCCACAACTACGGTAAACATGACGGAACCTGCTGGCTACGTGGCAAGAGCAACAGCTTTGTTTTTGAGTTCAGCTTCGGCTATGAGAGCTCCTCTCCTCTCAGATTCATCGGGTGCTTTTCCCTTGCAGCAACGGGCCTCCCCTCCCTCGAGCATGGGGGAATGTATAGTAAAAAAGATATAATACATAAGTATAAATAAATAAATACATGCATATAAATAAATAAACATATGTATATATACATGTATATATATATATATGTATCGTGTTGAGGTTCGGCCACAGTCACAGTGTGTAGGTGTCGAGACAAGCTGCATGTGCTGTACCAAAACCATCGGGGCAGGCATTTTTGGGTTTCGGTCCTGTGGCTGTCGAGCCCTGCGCGGGGGCAAGCCCTTGAACATGATCGCAGCTTCCACACTCGTTGGTACTTTGGGTACAAATAGCTGGCAATTAGGGTCTAATCAGTCTAGAACAATGGCGGTTGCATTGTGAAAGTCCATGGGTGGTTGGCAGACTTGAAGACCTGACCCCAGGCCCTAAGCCGCTCCTTCAAGACAAACGACCAGCGATCGCTGAGGAACCTCCTTGCCGTGGTGGGACTGACGGATGCTGGAATGTTGGACGTTGCTTTTTCCTCTTTGATCCTGCTTGCGAGCCTTGCCAGATCACCCAAGGCTTTGGCTGCATAAGGTTTGGGGGGCTTCCACTTGCAGATTCAGCGTAGCGCCCCATGAGAACAGCTCGATGTGTAAAGCACTGATCCAGTCAACAAGTTGCTTCAAGTTCCAGAAGTTGCTGCAGTGGAACCTTGCAGCCAAGGAACATCGTCATGCAGACACTGCTGCTGGGCCTTCGTTCACCTGTTGAGCTATTCGAGTTGTCATTGGGAGGATACGCAAACCTTCAACGTGAAACTTGCCGCATCCCCCTGGCCTCAGGTTCATTCAAATCCTTTTCAACAAGAGCTTCCTTGGCGATCCTTTCGAGGAGCTTTTTCCGGTTTGCATAGGAGTGCGAAATGAGGGTATGTTTGGGGGTGTTTGGGGTGAGTCTTAAACCCGATTAGAGCCGATATGGATCAGGAATGCAAGCACTTGTTCGTTTCTTTTCTCGACTGCGGTGTGCTCTGCCATTTTGCTCGCTCACTGCCCTACATATCACCTATCTCACCAATCCTCGAAGGGCGGTTAAGCGCTTGGAAGTTTCGAGTGCCTTGAGGCCAACGTGAAAAACACAAGAGTTTGGCGAACGAGCTTGGCCCACTCCTTCAGGCGACTTGGATCGAGCAGTCGGGGCATAGCTTAGCACATCTTGGCGACGAACAATGCCACCCCCTCAATGGAACAATTGAATCAACAACTAAGCAGAAGCACTGTCTAAGGTCACAGAGAAGGCTTTGTTTTTGCTTCAGGGCTTCAAGATCGTGGGGTACAGTATGGCCACGTGCGAATGAGGTACATGGACCTCTCGCAGACGAGTCTGGTGACCCGAGTTTGTGACGAAGACAGTTCTCTCTTGGTAGCCTCTACTCAGGCACGTCTGGGCACGCGTGGGGGCACGGGCCAGAAGAGTCACAGTTGCCGGCTGCCCTGAACGCCCAGGAAGACCCGTGCAGCAACGGCTTTTGTTGCTGCATCTCTTTGTTGAAGAGCCTTCCCCTTGCAGGCGAAGTTGCTGTCCGACATCAACAAGACTCTCAGCTGAAAGGGATGCGATAGGGATTTTTACGTCGGGGTCCACCTTTCTGTCTGGGGCAAGAAGGGCAGGTTGTTTTTTTCGCATGGCACGGGAAGGCACGTGGGGTGTTACCTTATAGGTTTTCAAGCGCCAAGGTTCCTGGGCCTGCAGAAGACTGCCTTCCAGGTCACCTTCGAGCAGCCAGGCGGGGGGGCGGGGGGGGTCTCCTGGAGTTCGTCCGGGGCTCTCCCCCTTCCGACATGTTATTTTGCAAGGTGCTTTATCTAACAAAGGGGTGTCTTATTCTTAGCACTCTGGGGCTCTGAAGCGTTTTCCAGAAGCAGTGCCTTCCCATCCTCTTCCCCACCTGTGTTCCGGGCTCCGCTCTGTGGGCCTTCACGCGAGAGCCCTCTGCTCTCCTCTACCAGGAAGCTCTGCATAACAGATAAAAGCCTAAGCAAAAACACGGAGTATCAGTCTAAGAAGAGCCAAATAAAACTGCAACTCTGCACCCCTGCGCTTTCTGCATCCTGAAGCCAAGAGGTGTCACGCTTTGCATGCTTTGCATCATACTCTGGATCCTCTGCGGCAGGTCTGTTTGAGGGCTGCAACTTGCATTGCTTGCAGGGTTCGAGAACGTCCATGTCTGGTGAGCGCAGCAGCGATCCCTGAAGTTCAATGCAGGCACCACAAAGTTGCTGGAAGTGTTGCTGGAAGTTGTTTGCCGGGGGTGGGACAAGACACTCGCAAACATATAGAGCAGGCACTGGTGCCATGCACTCGGACTTTAACCGAGGAACCTCTGTGTGTACCGCGAGCTTCGAACCATCTGGCTGAACCTGCAGGCAAGTGAGCACAAGGGAAGCCCCTACGTGCCTGCGTGGGTGTGTGTGTGTGTGCACGCAGGTAAACGTACCAGCGACGGTCGACATGAGCACCAGGGTGCAGCATGTGACAATGTGAGCGCACAGTAAATGACAGTTTTCTGCGACATGTTGGTTCCAGGGCTTACCAGTTTGCGATTCACGTCATGTATTTGAGGTCCACTTAAGTGGAAAGGTCTTCATCCTCAATAAGATTTCGCCAAGACCGCCAAACATTTGCGTGTGTATGTGTGTGTGGGTGTGCTCCGAGGGGCCTCAGGAAAGGACCGGAGATGACCCGATTCAATAGATTCAGCATAACACAGTCCACCTGACCTGAACGACATGTGCTTCGACGCCCCCTCTCCATTGCTACCGGGCAGGCCGTGATGCAGCTTCCCCGAGGGCGAGTCACAGACTTGCGCCAAGGAGCTTTCCGAAGCATCTCCGTCTCACGGCCTCTCGGAGAGACTTGCGAAGCCAGAGTCTTCCCCGAAGCGCCACCTCATTGAAGGTAGCCATGTAGAACCTCATGTAGAGTCAGGATTGTGATGGGTCACGTCAAGTCGGCGCTTGCAGGGCTCGTCGTGCCATCGGGCACGGACTGATCTTTGCCTGCCCCAATCGCGAATACATTCAATACATCGCCAGGTTGTAGGGCGACGAGAGCTTACCGGCTGAACTTGCTGCAGGCAACGACCCGACGTATTGTTTCGCACTTCCGGAAGTTTCTTGGAGCTTTCAGCCCTCCCATTTTGCTCTGAGGTTTGCCATCATCGTGGCGGCTTACGTACTGCGTGCGGCACTCGCGATTGCGTTGCTCGTAGGCGGCACGCCACTTTGCTTCAATTCAGTGCTCCCTGAAGCCCTGGCTTTGGACCACGGAAGAGTTGTCGAAGCAGCAATGAGCTCTCAGGCAGTGGCTGGCCCGCACCACATCAATCGCAGCTCAGATGCAGCTCCGACAGCCGACAGGGCGTGTCTAGTGCACTTCTCTGACCTCGCGTGCTGTCCACGCCCCAACAAACCAGCCTTGGGTCATCACTACATTGTGACTACATGACTAGGTGGACCTGATCCTGAACGCTGTAGCTCTGAATGGCATTTTGGATATCGACGAGTTCCTTTTCGAGGCCGTGCCCGTGGGTGGCTATGTCTTTGGTTTTGATGTGCTTCCATGTCATTCGGATTCGGGGAGTTGAAAGTGGACAGCGGGTTTCAAGGCCGGCAGCGTTGAAGGTGAAGAGCAGCAGAGAACAGGTGTCCTGTCTGCCTGCACTTCCCGCAACACTTGTTGCTTAGCAACAGCCATCACAGTCTTTGCAGGGCATCAACTAGAATGGCTTTCAATGGCGAAGCTTGCTAGCGGAGATCTTTGCAACAAGATACTCAGGTGGCGAAGTCCGATGTCTTGACACACCCGTGTACGCCGAGTCGAGTGTGATACTGGTAGTGGAGGGAAGTGTAGCGGTGTGTAGAGTTCGTGGTCTTGCGCTGAGCAGAGGCGATGGTGCCCACAAAGATTCAACTCGCGATCCAGAAGCTGCTGGGACTTTGCTTTGCTTTGTGTGCCTGTGCTTAGCTCCTTGCCCTGGAGCATCAAGTGGAAAGAAGAGAAGCATACGAGCACGGTTGCTGAGAGAGAGAGAGAGAGAGCGAGAGCGAGCGAGATCCGCTCTTGGCTTGCGCCGTCTTGCGCTCGTCTGCATGCTGCTGCGTATGTTGTAGTAGTTTTTTCCCAGTTTCGGGACACCAAGGCTTCAGCCAATTCAGCTGATCTACGGGCGAGGGAAGAGCCAGGTAGAATCAGCCCCCTGACGGACTGTGGGCTTGTCTGGGATTGTAATGGTATACGTACTTGCGACTACGTTGCGTTCCAAAGAGCTTGTAGAGAACGTAGCAAAGGATGTCTTCGATTGAGCTACATGTCGTTCTTCTTTTTGGAGGGTTTGCACGGTTTTGGTCATTCGGTTCATTTAGCTTCCAGGAGCCCTGAAATCCGAAGCCCCACCTCTCAGCCGGCTAGGCTTTCAACTTCTCCGCATTGCTTCTGATGCTGCTGGTACCATACCTCGTTCTGGTGCTACCCCTTACGCAGCGACACTGGGCCGAGAAGCGCAGGGCTGTTTGATTGTGGGTCCTCTTCATCAGGAGCTTGCTTGAGATCAGCTGATTCACACAAACATCCTTCGCACCCCTCAGCAGGGAGAGCCAGACTGCCCAACTGGACGTGCGCCCTTGGCACCGTGAAGCTCCCTTGCCAGCGTAAATTTACCCTTCAAAACAATTTCAGCAGAAGCAGCACATTTCTCCAGGCTTTTGACGCAGCAGCTTGACGTGACTCCAAGTTGGGTTTAGTTTTGTTTGTGCCAACTGCCAATCAAGGAATGCTGGAGGTGAAGAGGGAGATGTGCTTTGGCATTCAGAACTTCGACGCTCGGCTGACACAAGTGACACAACTCATGATAAGAAGTGGAGCTTTCCCGGACTCTCGGAACACAGCCATGGCAGTTCTGTCAGGGAGAGTACCGTCTGAGTTCCGTGTCGAAGTCGACCAACAAGCCAAACTCCTCTTGTTAGTTGGGTCTCTTCGCCCGATAAACGACCTGCATCAGAAAGGGCGAGCCCGTGCTGAGCACAAGTTTTGGTACACCCCAAAACCAAAACCCTAAACCCGGATACCTTTTCAAAGCAAGATCTCTGAAGATCTCCACACTGTCCTCAGCCCAGGTCGTCGCTTACAATTCCGATGTGACCTTGCAAATGATATACAGGGGTGCTTGAGATGCCGAGAGGTGTTTTCATCGGAGCCCCTTTTATTTCATGCATGTGGGCGGTACTGTTAAGAAGGGAGGGGGGGGGTGCATGTCCGCAGGAGCCGAGAGACCGCAGGCATCGAATCAAACGATCGCCCCGACTTCGCTGAGGTTGGAATGGCTTACGGACTCATCACGGCCGAGAAACGGAACCAAAGCAATCCAACGTTGGCCGAGGCGGGCACTTGCCGTTAACGGCTCTGCCTAGGGGGGGGGGGTGCCGCGCCAGTCTCGACTGAGACGAGCTTGCTTTTCTTTAAAAAGTCTAAGAACGAAGAACTGTAAGTGAAGCCCACTAGGCTGATTCACTGAGAGACAGAAACTGCAACACGGCCCCGAGAGCCCGAAAAAGCATCCTTAGGTGGCGAGAAGCTCTCCTCCGAAGTGAATCTAAGAGACTCTGCGAGGGAGAGGCGGAGGCAGAGAGGGACGTGCAGAGAGAGGCGCCTGTCGCTTCCGAGAGGATCTTCAGGGAGAGGAGGAGGAGCTGGAGAACAGCGAAGTGCTAAGCCGATCCAAAACTAGAGCTACTGCCCTATTTAAGATATCAACATTCAGAGGTGGCCGTGGACAACTACAAGTTCAAACTGGATGGGCCTTGGAAGCAGGTGGGATCGGTCAGGTTCTTCTCTAGTGTTGGCTTTCTGGCCTCTCAGCCTTTTGATTTTGCAAGGACTGCAGCCCTCCTGTGACAAAAACCCGAAGGAGCGACTTTTCGCCTTGGAAGCCCAGAGCCAACCCCAAGCCACGAGGTGGACGATGAACTCCCTCCTTCACCTGACTACATGCAGCACCACAGCTGCAGCACAGGGCAAGGTTTCAGCGCTCAGCTCCGTGACCGCTCTCCCTTGAGATTGGGTCCTCTCGGTTGCTGCCCAGCATCGCGGCACTGTCCGGATGCTGAAAAAAAGAGCCGAGAACACCGTTACACACCGTTACACACTGTTACACACCCATCTACATTTTAAGTAGACTCGGAGGGAGGCAATCGAAGGCGAAGGCAGCCATTGCCTGGGCTTTGCTCTGAAGATCGGCGGAAGAACTGGGGGGGGGGGGGGCGCTCGAAGGGATTCGAACGGGGGGTGAGTTCAACGGCATGTAAAGATGTGTATTCTGCCTGTGGATGAGCCATACTGGTACTTAATGCAAACTTCGATGCCTCCGAGTTTGCTTCTGTGATCTGCAGCCCAGGATTGGCTTGTACACCCAGGAGTTCGAGTTCGGCCGGATCCGGAAAATGGCTGAGGAGGCACGACGAGAATCGAGAATCTACGTCACTATGCTCATATCTGCCAGTGCTTAGCGCGCCCAGAATACGTGCAGCACCTCGCAGCACAGCACCTCTCAGCGCAGGCGCAGTACTTCCCAGTGTGCTGGGAGAAAGACGTTGAGCCGGATGGGTCAGAGAACGCCTCCATCTTGTCTGCTTTTGCGCATCGCGGCCTTGAGTATGGTAGCCTCGAAATTGTCCAGAGTTATACCCCGTCCATCCAATCCCCTAGCCCGCAGTATTGTTGCTCTTGACTGACATCTCCTGACTCCTTCGTACTTTGTCCCTAGGTCGCAGTGTCCATCAGCAATTCGAGGGATAGAAACGGCCTCTGCTAGACTCTCGTACCATCAGCCAGCTTCGGCCAGCTTCACCGTTCAGACAAGTGGAGCACCCATCACTCTCATGGCAGCGCTTCCGAAACCCTCACGCCGTCACAACAGTCAGCCATAGCCGCCATAGCCTCCATCATTCTTGTGGGCGATGAAAAGTTCAGGCTCGCAGGAATTGTGCACAGAACGCCCAAGGCACAGCCGAATGAAGGCCGCCGCCTTCAATCTCGGCATCACCGCCACCACGTGCGCAGAGCTGCTTTGACAGAGCAGAAAACTTTCGGAGAGTTCTTGGAGAGTTCTTGGAGCTCTGAGGTCCAGGTGGCGCTTTTTATGTTGCTACCATGCCTTGGGCTCTTTTATTACGTAGTCTGGGTTCCCCAAAGCATCTGGCCGCAGTGCTCAACGGGGCTAGGGGATCTTCCTGGGTAAAGAGTCTGATCGTTGCTCTTTAAACTCAGTGACCGCGAGGGCAGGTGGAGTACACATGCCAGAGGATGTAGCACCTTTAGAATATTTATAGGATTTTATAATTTTATCGGTCTCTCCTGCGACGAAGAAAGCGCTGAGTGTTGGAGCACGAAGTCCTGGCCTGCCTCTGCAAAACACTGACTGCCTGACTCCTTCAACTACTTTCCTCGAAGGCTGAGCTACGACTGCTACACCCCGGAGGCCAGTCTGCGGGGAGCAAAGGGGAGGGAAGCACGTTTTTGCGGTGCTGAACACCGGCATCCTCTCGGCCCCTTGCCAATGATACTGCGAGCACGTGTGCCTTGCAACTTTAGTGTGATCGCAGATCAAAAAAGGGGCACAGGGCAGCACTCCCCCCCCCCCCGTCCCCCCCCTCCTTCCCCCCCCTTCCCCCCGCAACACCACCACAGTGGTGACAGGGAGTATGCAGTTCAAGCCCATAGCCAACGCCTGCTTCTGAGGGCGGCGCAACCCGAAACATACCTTGTGCGCGAAGGCAGCCAAAACTTCAGAAGCCCTCATCGACCCCAGGCCCAGCGAAATGGCTGAGGGGGATTGGCAGCAACAATGCAACCGCAAGAATCTGTAGGACTATAAGAATCATGATGGTGCGCATATGCATGACGGCCCTGCTCAGGCGCGCATGGTCCGGCTCATGTGTGGGCAGACGTGTGGCTGCACGGATCCGTGACTTGCTGCAATTTGCCTTCGAGACATGTTCCGGAATGTGCCTTCAAAACCAGCAAACCAGCATTGGACTTGTTTCCAAGGTCCCCCAATCTTCTCCTCTTCAGAAGATTCACCTTGAGTTTTGTTCACCGCAACGCTCCTTCCAAAAAAGCTTGTCACAAGCATCACAGGCGTGCTTGAAGCGATTCACCGTTTGTTTACAGCACTCCTCTTGCCAAAAACAACTTGAGTCACAAACTTCGGGAGACAACTTTGCTCCCAGAGGCCCCACAGCAGAGCCACCCGAAACCTGATCTTGCTCCGGGCGCCTTCAAGGCTTCGATTTTTTTCATATTTTTTCATATCTGCAAGTCTAAGTGCGCCTTCATCTGCATTTCTCCTCATTCAGTCCAGGCCGTGTCCACATTGGCATACAGCCACAAAGGCCCCCTTCTTTTTCTTACCCGTAGGCTTTTCCCTTTGCTAAGGATGTCGTCTCCCTGGTACAAGCAAAGAGCAGAGGGCTGCGCTGAGCCGCTTGGCATCGACACGGCGACTGCCGTGTCTGTGAAGCTCTGAACACCGTTTGGGCCCGGCTTGGGGACCGCTCCCTTGCCACTCAGGATGTGTCTCTCGGAGCGGCATCAGCTCATGAAGGCATTGCCTTGTCAAGTGACTGGGCCACATAGGTGACACGGAGTGCGCTCACACACTGCAGGCAGGCAGACCAGGCAGGCAGGCCAGGCAGGCAGGGACAGATGGAGATGGAGTGTGAGGCCTGTGAGGCAGAGTTTCCTCAAGGATACCCAAAAGTGCTGTAGCCGGCCTGGCTTCCATGACGATCTTGCCAAAAGGTTTCCAGGAGACTGCTCAGGTAGCGGGTGCTACATTCCGGAGTCCGCAGAGTCGAAGAAGTGTATAAGCATTGAACCAAGCACATTCTGCAACGATCTGCAACGCCTATTCCCTTTGAGGGCTTGCTAGATGGAATCTTGTCTCATCCAGCACAGGCAAACGGAGGCGTCAGCAGGCCTCTCTTGTCTTTGCCTGCCCAGGATTTTCCCCAAGCCGGTGCGCAAGCGAGCTGGAATCACTTCTGGGACAATTACCAGCTGGCCATAACCGCATACTTTGGGCAGGATCCTGGATGTTAAACTCGGTTGACGGCGGTTAGCGTCTCTAGGAAAGCTCCGCATGCCTCCGTCGTCCCTCAGCGATGAAATCCCAGGATCGGATTCAGTACGCCAGCCCGGGCTTTGCTACAGCAGCGTCTATCCAAGCGGGCGGCTGCGATCAGCTGCGACTCCATCGAACTGACTCGATCACAGGCAAGGGCAGTCTCACAGCAAGCTCCTGATTCACAAGCAGCCTTGAATATAGGGAAATGCAAGGAAGCAGGACTTCGGCCGAGGTTTTCGGAGTCTTCGGTTCCGGCAGGGGTGCCACCTTGCTCGCCTTTTGAGCTGCATGGGCTTCGGGCTTCTGAAGCGTTGCACGGGTAGAACACATGTCGAGCGAGTCGAGCAGCTGAGCATGTCAGGCGAGGTCTGGTGTTTGGGTGCCGCAGACTTGTTCGGCCCGCTTGCCTACCTCTGCCCAGCAGCTTGGGCAGTTTGACCCCTGTTTTTTTGTTTTCTAATCGGCGTGCTTTGGCCATCTCTTGGACTATCATCCCTCTGGCAACAGCACAGGGGTTCTTCTGTCGATCAGGGGTAGCTTTTTTTATTTTCCTTCAGTACAGTAGGAGGGTGCCACATGCTACATGACCTCATAACATGTCCGATAACTACATGTTGATTTTCGTGTAGCGGCCATGATGTGGCCAGGAATCCTGTGGCTGCCGAAATGTGACCAGTGGGTCCCCAATGGCGTATTATTGCCCGAACAGCTGCCTTGCTTAGTGACAGCACTTTGACAGCACTTGGGCCCCATACAGACGCTTTCTATGTCTCTACCGCAACTCATCCCAGGGTTTTGCATCCTTTGGTCCTTTGAGGGCGTTTTTCGCCGGACTGTGGCTTCAACGCAAAAGCTACAGCTGCCGGATCCAACGAGAGCCTTTGTAGCAGAAGCAGCAGGTCTCACGGCGGATTTGTTTCACTCTTTGGCTGGCTGATGCTGGTTGTAGCCCTTGCTCAGATCTACGCATGTGGAGGCATGTGGAGCAGAGATGTTGACGGCAGTTCAGCCCTGGGCTACAGCCAAGTTTGACAGGCATGCTCGGACAAAAGGGGAGTTTAAACTTCAACCCTTGCAGCCGAGGCCGACACCCTGAGCTTTCCCTAGCTAAATTAAACCCCATCTAAGTCTTTTTCGAACTACCGATGACACTCAGAGAGCTGAGCATACTCTGCGTTGCCCGCCTCTTTCGCAAAGTGTCAAGAAGACATTCGAGGACCTCAGTAACACCCTTGTGAGAACCTCACTGCCATGGCTGCTCCTCCGCAACCGGTCTTGATCGCACCTTGCCTAAATCAGGGGACAACACCGCGAAGAAACCTGTGTTTGAGATTGGTGCCAGAAAGCCAGCGTTTGTGTCAGCGTTTTCCTTGTGCCGTTCCGGCATGTTCCGGCCTTTGTTTTCCATGAACCTTGTTCTGAAGCTCCAATGTCGTCGCTCAAGCAGTCGCTCCAGTCAGGTGGCTTTGCCTAGGTTCATGGCACAGGTCTGTGGCCCCCCCCAAAGACGAAAAACGAGAATAGGCAAAGGTCAGCCCAACACTGCGATTCATGGTTGCCTTGAGCGGACAGAGAGGAACCTTCGAGTCTCTGCTCTACATGCTCCGGCTCTGGATTACCCGCTGGCCCTGACGAGAGTGAAGCTCGCCCTTTTTGGCAAGGGTTGCAAGGCGTGAGGATAGGACGGGCGAAAGAGAGTTTGGGTAAAGAAAGGTCGCACGTTGAAGAGCAATTGGCAAAGCGCCCCCAGGTTCGGGTGCCCCGAAACGGCCAAGAAATGGCCTCAAGCAACTCTTTGCTCATTTTTGCAACCTTGCAGCCCTTAGCCGCCCTTAGCCGCCCTTAGCCGCCCTTAGCTGCCTTAAGCCGACAAGCCATTGCGGTCTGAGGCCGACATGGTGACCTTGCCGAAGAACAAGTTTTGGCCGCCTGTGCCAAGCCTGGTTCCGAAAAAGGGCCTTTCGGCAGCAGTGGCCTCTGAATCACTGAAGCATACACACCACTCAACATCGCAATTTCGAGTTAGGCTTTGGGCCCATGGCGCTTTCAAGCTCTTGTGAGTTCAAGTTGAAAGTGTCGGAGGAATTTGCTTTCAACGTTCCCCACATTTGATACATTCGGGTCCGTCACGCCAGCAGTTTCGGTGGCATTTGCGATTTCCGCACAGGCTTTAATTTAGTGATTTTTGTTTCCCGCGCGAAGTGCGAAGTGCAAAGCGCGAAGCCAATGCAGACATTTCTTTCTCTCTCTACCTTGGAGTTTTGATGCAGCTGGCCCCACTCATTACTTCTGTCCAGTCATGTCAGCACGTTTTCGAAAATAATAATATGTTCTCCGCATATCTCTGCATGGCGCTTTCTGCACAAATGGCGAGATCCAGGGACTTCGCTCCGCTCCGCTGTTGAAGAATCCTTTGTGCATTCTGCTCCTTCTTCCTGCAGGAACGCGTACGGGTTGATCAGGTCAGGTTGGTCAATAATGAGCACAGGAGACCCTTTTGCTGAGTACATTTGGGCTTTTATGTCTTGGTTGCTCAGCCATGTAGTATTTTGCGCCTCACAGCCCACCTGCTTAGCTTGCCGTTCCGTCCAGTTGAGCTTTTCACGTGTACAGAGCTCCTTGCTTCGGAGAACGCTGCTGCATCCGCATGTCCATCTCTTCCTGATGTAGAGTTCATTTCAAGAGGCCTTTTCTGTTGCGAATCAACACCAGTTCCCAGCAACCTATGTCAGCTGGCCTGAGGCTCTGTGTGCCGAGACACTTCTCCAGCGGAGGATGAGGATGATGAGGACGGGCTGATTCATGACAATCGCCAGAGTATTTTGACAGTTGCAACGACAATGTATCAACCTAGCCCAAAGCTCCTCACAAACGCGAAGCCCTTTGCAGCCACCCTTCTGCCTTGACCGGCCTTGGCATAAATTCTGCGTTGGGCGAGGGCTCCTGGTTTGGAGAACTTTCGCTGCCGTATAGGTTTTAGATTTTGGTAGCTTTGCACTGGAGCCTGCTTTGGTCTTGCAGTTCGGAGAGATCTAGAGTAGTTGAAGAGCTCAGGATTTGGCAGTTTGGTTGATCCACGAATGTTGGAACCTTCTTACAGCGGTCTGCAGCCTCAACCCGAACTCTCAGCTTCTGTCACCCTTGCTCCCTTGAGGCTCAGGACGTGCAACGTTGCGTCTCGGCTTATAGAATTCGAGAAAAACGCAGGAGGTGCAAGGGTTTTCGCAGGGCTCCTTCGATGGAGGGCTGAGGGCTGGTGATACTCGCCCGCCAGGGACGGAGCAATTCGGCCTTCATCCGAACAGCGCGCTCTGGTATGGCGTGCGCAAGCTGCTGGTGAAGAACATGCCGGCAAGGTGCAAGGAGGAGGAGTTCCGGACGTTCCTGCGTTCGTTTACCAGCGCGACCTTCGACCTCAAGATGCCCCGAAGCAGGGGTGGCACCTGCAACCGGGGTGCTCTCTAGAAGGCCTACTTTGTTTGTCATTTGGGTCCCTTGGGTCCCTTGACCCCACATCCATGGGCTCAAGACAGGTGCCAGGCTTCCAAGCTTTCCGCTCCCCAAGAGCAGTCGAGGTAAGGGCTACTGCTTCATCACTTTCGCAGATGCCGAGAGCCTTCGCGTGCTTCTACCCCTGCTTTGGCAGCAGCCGATACCAACCAGGAACCCTCGACCACTCAAGCTTCTGCCCCTGAGCGTGGGCGATGTGGACGAGGACACATTAGGAATCATTAGGTTTACGTTGTTTACGTGGTTTGCGATTCTGCAATGTGGCTTTTTGACCAAAGTGTGCCCATGAGCGAACTGCCTGCCAAAACCCCGAAACCCCTGAGCAATCCTTCCTTATCGCTGCTTCAAGGCCCAGCTAGTTTGCAAACACACTGGTAATCAACACCATGTTGGTGTATGGTGAGAGGATGTGAGAGGTGAGTGTGGGGACTTGATCACTCCTTGCGCTTTTGTCCTCCATTGAGGAGGTTGCATACGTGGAGCTCTGACTCTCGGCTTCAAGAATCTGTGCAGGGTCCTTAGTTGAGGGCTCCTTTGGATCTCGCCCTTTGAGTTTGCAAATCTTGCCAGGGACCGACCAGTTCGGGCTTCATCCAAGCAGCGCGCTTTGGCGTGGCGTGCGGAGGCTGCTCGTGAAGAACATCCCAGCAAGGTGCAAGGATGACGAGTTCCACATGTTCCTACGCACCTGGACCACCGCAACGTTCGACCTCAAGATGCCCAGAAGCAAAGGTGGCACTTGCAACCAGGGTGCTCTAGAAGACCTATTTGAGGGTTGTTCTTTTTGGCGGGCTCTTGTGAGATACGTTGGAGGTCGATTAGCGAAAAAACTCGGTCGTAGTAAAACGTGCACACCTCTCGAGCGCGCGCAAGCTCGCGCAAGGGCGAACACAAGCTCTGCGCAAGCTCTGAAGGCGAACAAGAGGCGAGCATTTGAGCTTCCAGGACCCAAACAGTTACCGAACCTTACCAGTACTTGCGAAAACCTCGTGTGCGCAAGCCCGCGCAAGGGACGCGCAAGGGCGAAGCGCAAGGGATCCTAATTGGCAGCCGTGGAACAGGAATATAGAACAACCCTCATTTGTTCTCAACTCTAATGCTCTATATGCATAAATCATCATGCAGAAATGTACCCCTTCTCCCCCCCATCCATACGACTGGGCATCATCGATGCCCGTGGGCTCACTTAAAAACTAAAAATATAAAGGGCAAGGTGCACCCCGAGGGGGGCCCCTACGACCCCCAAGGAGCAGCAAAGGACACGATGTTGGCCTGGATGCTTCGCGTAGCTGCGAGCGACACGCACCGTGAAAGCGCACTTTTGGGGTGACACAGGACTTTTAGCTTACTGTCCTGCTTTTGAACCCTCCTGGGGGGCGGGGGGGGTGTGGTCGGGGGCGTACCCTCCTCTGGACAAAGATATATCTTGAACAGTTGGACCTTATCATCACGAAAGCTACTGTAGCTAGGCTTGAGTGTAGTCTCTGCGTTAGCGATTCTATCAATACTACAATAGCGGTATGTGCGGGATCTGAAGAGAGGGAAGAGACCGCGTGTGAGGGAGAGAGGGAGGGAGTGGAGCAGGCAGAAAGCGCATGCAAGGGAGAGCCACAGCTCTAGCTTCTTGAAGCAATACCGCCTAGAATCTAGGCTAGGTTTCGGCGTCATGCCCCTCAACAGTTTGTTTTGTTGGGTGTGATTTGCCCAAGAGCATTGCTTTCAAAATTTTGGCGGTGAGGGGGCTAAGTGCCCCCCGCCCCAACCCTCCCAGGTCATTTGCAGCCGTGCGGACGAAATCATTAAATCATGCACTTGAAAACCCAATGTAAGACGCACAAACATAATACAAGCATCAATTATTTTTGAAAACGGATTTCTCACTCAACTCTGCACATGGGAAAGCTCAGGGTTTGAATAGGTTTTTAGGCCATCAAGAGGAATTGCTGCAAACAGCTGTGACCCCCCGCCTTCTTTCAAGACATCTTGCGAGAGAAATTGCCTCAAAGACGTGTGCCATCCTGTTGAAGCGCGGCATTCAAGTTTTGTGTTTGTAAAGGGAGGGGGGGGCCTTTGCCACCCCCCCCCCCCCCCCCCCCCCCCGGCGTGCAGGCTGCTGAAGCAAACATCGTGCTATCAAGAGGCGTTGTGTTTGGGGCGGCGGCTGCGCCCTCCCCAAACCCGCTTCTTAAAGCGCTGCGAGCATGCTCTAGGGACATCACGCCAGCACAGTGAGTTGCTTCAAACGGCATATGACGTACGACCATTTCCATTATACGAGCACTGTGTCCGCACAGGGGAATGCGCTTTCCCCAATGCCCCCATGCTTTCATGTGACCTTGCCGTATTTAAAGAAATCATGCGATGAATGACAAATTGTTTGTATTTGCAAGCCCCTCGCTTGTTAATCTACGGCCCCAAAAACCGAAAGCCCCAGACAACTGACCTTGAGACACCAACCCGCATTGCATAGAAACCCAAACCCTCGAACCTGACATACTGTAGCGGCCAGTATGTCTTCACAGAGGGCTAGCTACCCATGGAAACAGAGGGTTTCCCTGGTGATGGCGGTTTCCTTAAGTTTTGTCCGTCTGTCAGTGGACATCCATTGTGTAAGTGTAAGTGTTTTCCAAGACTCGTAAGTTATAGAGGGGAGACAGCTTGTTGAGACCGAAAGAGCATATGTTGTATCACAGAGAAAATATGGCACAGGGTAGGAGAGCTGTCTATTTGACTCTGGAAACATATTGTCCGAGACCGAGAGGAGAGATCAAGCCCATGAAACATACGTAGAGGAGTGAGGCCTGTCTACAAAAGCATGCAGGTAAGGCAGCGAGCAATAAATTAGGATGAGGCCTGAGGCTTGCAAAGCAAATAGAAGACTTCCTACAGCAATGCAGGTATTCCTAGTCAACTGTAGAGGAAATCGGTGCTGTTCCTTTGGACTGTCGGCGCCATGGAGGCTGTATAGACTTTTTTCATACGGTTTCCAGCAGACAGCGGCCACGCACCACGGAAGGGGGGGGGGGGAGGCCGACTTCTAGATGTCCACCCTCTAAGGCTTAAGTTTCCAGATCTTCATTGTTTGCATCTGGAAACCAAGTGGCTGGAAATTGGGAAACCCGACAACTGAGAGATCATGGGACAGGCCGTGTAGCATGTGGACGGTCACAACAATTTCTGCATATATATATATATATATGTATGTATATATATATATACGTATGTGCATATATATATGTATATATATATATATGTATTTACTATGTATGTATATACACACCGCTCTGGAAAATAGCCCGAATTGTAAGTCGTGAAAATACCACACTTACATGATAATAGTCCTGATAATATAACAACATACAGACACACGTATGTATACGTGCTTACATATTTCCGTTCTCATCCAAGTTTTCTTTTGTTTCTCAAAGAGCAGTCGAGGTAAAGGCTATTGCTTCATCACTTTCGCTGATGCCGAGAGCCTTTGTAATCTCCTGCCCCTTCTTTGGCAGCAGTCGATACCAACCAGGAATTTTCGACCGCTCAAGCTTCTGCCCTTGAGTGTGGATGATGACGAGGACGAGGACGAGGACGAAGCCGCCGTGGGCAGTGAACTTTTGACATGGCAATAGCCATGTAAATGGAGAGCAGTGTCAGACAGTTTACGTATATCTACCTTTGCTAGCTTCTGTCAGTATCAGCTTGTGCCGTGAAGCCTCTGAAGCAGAACCTCCTGCTTGGGGGTCGCTCAGCTTTGTCTTGTCCTGTCGGCTGTCCCAGCCCTGGCATCTAAACGCTAAAACATGCTAAAACGCCCCAAACCCTGGAAGCCTACCTTTAGACCGTGAAACGACGATTGAGCACACAAATTGTCAGAGTTCTCCACCAATGTCCATGGTGGAAATTTTCCTGCCTTAGCATGACGGTACTAAACGCTACTAAAGCTGCGGATAGCAAAACATAGCACCGACACGACGCGTAAGCTAACAGATCATAACGAATTATGACACGGAATGGCATTGCTTCACGGAAAGAACATGCAATGCAAGATCATAGCAGAACATAAAAGAATCCCCCGAAAGCGCAGTGAACAAAAAATGAACAGCGGAACCCAATCACACGCACCATGCAATCAAGTCGAGACCATTCTCTGAGCAGTTCTAAAGAGGGCATATGGCAAAAAACAGATTCAGATAAATAGAGAGATAGAGAGAGAGAGGGCGACAGAACAGGGAGAGAGATGTTTAGACACAGAGATACAGAAGCGGTACCTTTATCGTCACGACACCCTTCGATTTGCAATAGGAAGCGTCCCGCAGTGACAGCAGAAACGACAAGAAAAAACACTCACCGTGCCCAAATGGTATCTAACATGATAATTTTGCCAACCTGCAACTAGTACGATCTAATGTTAGTGTTTTCTATGGCTACGGAATGTCAGGTCGCATTGAGACGGACTGCAAGGTTATGTTATGTGACTGACGGCACACGCCGTCGTGTACTGTCTGTCTGACACCACATTCGCTCCTGCGCCATTTGCCGCACTGCCACCTCTAGGTGATATCACCGCCAGGTGACCAGCGATCGCTGAGGTTTCTGCAAGCAACTGCGCTGCTCAATGGTGCGTTAAACTGAGCAAGCTCCATGCATCTGACCGTTTCCTTCTTTAGGGCCATTTCGGGGGATTTTTCGTGCACTGGTTTAATGCTGCAGGCAGATCCTAGCGAACGCGTGGATTCGGAGGGCCGCAACGATGGCCAAGGGCGCCTTTGAAAGGGACTGCTCCAGGTACTGAAACACCCGAGCGGCTGGTCACAGCATTCGTTGAAAGCTATAAGCAAGCAGGTGATAAGCAGTTAGCTCTCGCTTAAATCAGTCGCATGTTTTTTCAGTGCTCGAGAGTCTACGTATATCTGCGTCGCCAGCTTCTTGCAGAATTTCACTGTGAACTAGCCCGAAGAAACACCCTGTGCCTGAAGTCGGTAGCGTTGTGTTGGTGCATTTGTGCCTGCCCATGTGTCCCTGGGCAGAGCTTGGCACTACCAATGCCGACAGGGACACCTCTAGTTGACCAGCGATCGCTGGGGTTTCTGCAGGCAACTGCTGCGCTCAATGGGTGCGTCAAATCGCGCAAGCTCAATACGTATGACCGTTTCGTTGCTTAGGGCCATTTCGGGGGATTTGTGGTGCACTGGTAAAACTGCTTGCAGAGCCCAGCGAAAGCGTGGATTTGGACCACAACGATGGCCAAGGGCGCGAAAGGGACCGCTTCAGGCACTCGCATTCAAAGCAACTAGCTCCCTTAAGCCAGTCGCATGATGTTCAGTGAGAGGAGAGCAGCGTCAGAGAGTCTACACATGTCTACATCGCCAGCTTCTTGCAGCATCGGACTGTGAAATAGCCTGAAGCAAAGCGATGTGCCTGAAGTCGATGGCCTTGTCTTGTCGCGTCCATGACGGCCCTTGGCCGTCCCTTGGCAGAGCTGGAAATGCGAATGCCGACACCTCTATTTGACCAGCGATCGCTGCGGTTTCTGCAGGCACCTGTCGCTCAATGGTGCGTTAACTCGTGCAAGCTCATTTGTCAGCGCATCTTGTTTAGGGCATTTCGGGGGATTTGTGGTGCACTGATAGAACTGCAAGCAGAGCCTAGCGAACGCGTGGATTCGGGCCGCCACGATGGCCAAAGACGGTGTTTGAAAGGGTTTGTCCCTGCCCATGTGTCCCTGGGCAGAGCTTGGCACTACCAATGCCGACAGGGACACCTCTAGTTGACCAGCGATCGCTGGGGTTTCTGCAGGCAACTGCTGCGCTCAATGGGTGCGTCAAATCGCGCAAGCTCAATACGTCTGACCGTTTCGTTGCTTAGGGCCATTTCGGGAGATTTGTGGTGTACTGGTAAAACTGCTTGCAGAGCCCAGCGAACGCGTGGATTTGGGCCGCAACGATGGCCAAGGGCGCCTTTGAAAGAGACCAGTCCAGGTACTGGCAGTTGCTCTTTGAAACACCCGAACGGCTGGCCACAGCATTCGTTGAAAGCTAAGCAAGCAGGTTCTATAAGCAGTTAGCTCTCTCTTTCATCCAGTCGCTGATGATTTTCAGTGGTGCTTCTCCAAGCAGCGTCAGAGAGCCTGCGTCTAGCTACCTCGCCAGCTTCTTGCAGTTTCGGACAACCCTGTGCGTGAGTTGGTAGCTTTGTCTTGTCCCGTCCATGCTTTCCCTGGGCAGTAAATCCCGGGCAAGCTTGGAATACGAATGCCGACAGCCCTGTTTGACAAGCGATCGCTGCGCTGCAGACAACTATGCCATTCAATCAGTACATTACACACACACACACAGACACACAGACACACAGACACACAGGCACACACACACACACACACCCACCCACCCACACACCCACGCACCCACGCACGCACACGCACACGCACACGCACACGCACACGCACACGCACACGCACACGCACACGCACACGCACACGCACACGCACACGCCACGCACGCACACGCCCACGCACACGCACACGCACCCGCACACGCACACGCACACGCACACGCACCCGCACCCGCACCCGCACGCACACGCACACGCACGCACACGCACACGCACACGCACGCGCACGCGCACGCGCACACACACACACACACACACACACACACACACACACA